TCACAATGTCCATAGCGATGTCCCTGCTAACAGCTGATAGTGGCAGCAGCACCTTTTGTCATCCTCAGCCTGGCTACCTAGAGTAAAGGGACTTAGTGGCTCTACAAGCAAAGTCACTGGATGGCCTGAGCCCTGCCTTGGTAGGTGAGGTGAGAGGCTGCTGTCTTGGTACCTCTGGGGTTGCTGCTGTTTGGCCAGGAGCCTCTGGTGGCAGTACCACACGCAGTGATCTCCCATGGCCACGTGAATATCCTCTGTGCACCAAGGCAGCCTCTGGCAGCCTCAATGCACAACTCAGCTGTGTCACAAACAGCTCTCTAGGGCAGTGGCTGGCAGCGTTAGTGACAGGTTGTGTCTTGGAGTTTGCCTGAGCACCAGCTGCGTTTCCTGTGCTTCCCTGCTAACTCAACCAGCCCTAAGGCAAAAATCTGTCTCCTGCCTGTGGCAGGCAGGCCTGCTATTTACAGGGAGCTTGAAGTGGGGAGGAGAGCGCTGAACAGTAAGCAGAATCCCAGCACTAGTTCTAACGGCATCAGACAGGATAAGTTGGGCAGACACGGACAAGTAACTGGATGTATTCTGAGTAATAGCTGAGCTTTGTGCTGGTGGTGTCTCTCTAATAATTTATGGGTCCATGTCCTGATGGTGTCCTGTTGCAGAGATCCAAAGCTCCTCTCCAGAAGCTCTATCTTTTCCATCCCTCCTACACTAATGTCCTGTTGGAGCTCCGCAATAGCACAGACCAAATAATTGCGTTTGATGGTAAGTCCTCTTCTTCCAGCCCTCCAGTGAGGAGGCCCAGGAGGACACTTCTGGTACCTCCTGTACTCTGGGTGCACGATGTTGGGTCTGGTGGCCACTGAGCACAGAGACCTGAGGCTGGGCTTTCCCTCTGCTCTGCGTTACAGCCCTGCTGTTCGAGCGGAGCCGTCACGCCTGCTATGTGCTGCTGCGGGGCCCTCAGCCCAGCGAGGAGCCAGGGACGGTGTCCCTGATGAAGCGTAAGCTGAAGGAGGATGTGTCTGGGAGCAGGGTGATCTGGCTGAGCCAGGTGGCTGTGGACAGCGAGCAGTACATCCGGGACCGCCTCTACAGGATGCGATTCCAGAGCCGAGTGTGAGCTGGCCGAGGGAGGGGGAGAGGCTGCCCAGGGCCCGGCGCCTCCACGCTGCCTCTCCTCTGCAGCCATGCTCCTGGCAAACCCAGATCACAGATTCAAATGGGAAGCTGCCTTTCCTGATCCACAAACCAAAGCGTGGCTGGTGGGGAAGCACCCCCAGTGTCTGGGGATGCCCAGGCCATGGGGGCAGCTGCCAGTGCATCTGTCCTCAGAGCTGATGGGACTTCAGTGCTTGGCGACCACTGAAGTGCTGTCAGCTCGGGGAAGAGGGCTTTCCCCTCTGTCCTTCTGTGCCCGCAGAACTGTGCTGACTCAGGCTGTGTCTGGAGGAAGGCATGTGCTTGCTGGGGATGCCAGAGTTGATTATTTCTTGGGTGCTTGTGTGACAAGTGGAGCTTCGGTGTGTGGTGTTAGGTGTCCTTTCTGAGTCAGCTCTCCTGGCATGGGAGAGGTGCTTGGCTGCAGGTTGGTTTGCAGTCACCCTCTCCTGGATTTGGGCCCCTGCTTTGGTAGCCATGGGGTGTGCAGGGTGATAGACCCCAGCCATGGCGAGGTGTCACCCAGGCCACCCAAGTGCAGGTTAAACTGTTCATTCTACTTAGAAAACGGCCTGTTCTCCTAAGAACAGCCCTGTGTGCCCTACTGTGCAGTCACAAACCTACCTGTGTCTGTCCCCTCTGCTGCTTCCTTTCCAGCCAGGCTGTGCAGCACTGATGACACAGAAAGGGAGCTGGTCTCTCACCTGATTCATGCATCAGTGTTCCTTCCTACCGCAGATCTGATTGTAAGTGGTACGAAAGCCACCCTTAGCCCAGGCTGGCTGATCCCTGCTGATTCAGACACCACCTCTCTTGCTGGTTTTGAGGTACCAGAGGATGTAGGACATTATTTTCAGAGCGGAATTGCATGTTAACCTTTCCTGGGAGCTGGGCTTGCCACTCTTGGAGCCCTGGACCCCGGTGTCAGTGCCAGCTGCCCTGCAAGTACTCCTTCAGCCTTGCAGCTGCTGAGGAGCCATCTCCAGGCACTGTCCCCTCTGCCAGGAGGTGGGCAAGCTGCAAGACTGCAGGGGGAAACAGTGCAAGTTCTCTTTGCAGCACAGCTCCAGAGAGAGCTCCGTGCCCTTGGAATTGAAGTGATGTTGGGTGAGGATCTTCGGGTGCCGTTCTCTCTGTCCAGCTTGGTAGCCTGAGGGAATGGAACAGGTTGCTGAGTAAAGGTGACATCTCCCCTGGAGAATTCTGTGGCTCAGGGTCTTTGCTTTTCCTGATGGGGTACGGTGTGGAATGTGGAAACAGCAGCCTGGAAGGAAAGGTTTGAGTTGGCTGCGCAGCCCTGGAGAGCTGCAGTCACCACATTGGCTGCTCTGAGACATGAGCCCTTCAGCTCTCCCAGTCCTGCAGCAAAACGAGCTGCAGCATCAGTGGTCTGCCTGGATGCTCACCTCCTGCTTCCAGCTGGCCTAAAGGGTACCCTGGCTCCCTCTGCCCTGTGATCCATATCTCAGGCCACGTGGGATGAGTGCTGCTGGCCTCTGCAGTCCTGGCTGTGCAGGAAGCTGGGGGTGCTCCCTGGAGAGCACTCAGAACCTTCAGAGCACCCTGGACTCAAATCAATAGGTTTTCCCTATGTTTCTCTCTGTCCAGGCTGGTCCCTGCGGTAACCTAGGGGTGTCAGTGTTCCCCAACTGAGGTTGCCTCTTTGCTTGGCAGAATATAAAGACCTAAAGCACAGCAGCCCCACAGGTCCCTGTGCCAGCTTTGCAGGGATCACGGGGCTGTGCCAGTGCTGCACATCCCGGGTTGTGAGGGCTGGGTTCAGCCTGTCCTTCTGGGGCAGAGCTGGGAGCATGGCTGCAGGAGCCCCAGCCTGATCTGAGTGTTGGATGCAGATTGTATCCCACTCGGGCAGGGAGCAGGGTGCCCGGGCTGTATGCTCACTGCAGTCACACTGTTGCGGCACTCTCCCTCCTCTCATCCCTACCTGGACCTGACCTTTCCCATAGGAACACTGTTGCTTCAGGAAAGATGGATTTTCAGCTTTGGGGGGCTTTTCTGGCTTTAAGTTGTTCATTAATGTTTCCAGATACTTTGGAAATGCAGATTTCCCTGTGGCAGCTCAATTAAACGCATCAGTGCCAAACCAGCACCTTCTTAACAAAACAAGTCCCTTTTCCAGCTTGTTTCCCAGTGTAATTGTTTCTTTGCAGTATTTAATGAATGACTTTGTGCCTTGGTTCCATAACTCAGATGGGTGATGATGGCATATATCACTGTGTTACGTATTAGTGCGGTTTTTAACACTAAGACTGTTTGGTTTGGTTCTTTAACTTATTGCAAGTTGTGCCCTGTAGGACTTGGTCTAACTGAATGGTTTCAATAAATCCTCTTTTGCATTGTTTGTAAATGGTGCCCTGCTTTTCGTGTGGCAGCTGTGGTTAGGCAACACTTGGGACGTTCTGGCAGCCCTTTGTGTGACTTCCCCAAGGCAGAAACCCCCTGTTTTGGGATCGATCCAGGTGTTCTGGTGATGCTTTGATGGCTGAGCTGGCCGTGGCCCCAAGCCACCTCCTGCTGCCCTGTCCTGCTGTAGGTAGGTGATGGACTGGGAGAAGGGACCATGTGGAAGGAAGCTGGAGTTAGATAACTGAGCTCAACCAGCCCATCCCTGCCTCCTGCCTGGGGCTCGTGACCTGGTTTTACACCCCTGCTGCACTTCATCAGCATGAAAATCTCATGCTGGGGTTTGGCTTTGGATCAAGGCGGAGGGAGCCGCATGGCAGGCGCTGTCTCCTGGAGCGTGGGACCATCTGTCACCGCGCAGTGGCTGCCAGCACCAAGCTCCATCCTGTGACCGAGGCTCCGGCAGCTTCCCCTCCACCAAGGTCCCTCTGTCTGACCCCGCACTGAGCCATGAAATCCCCCCTGCTCCGTGCCAGGGGCCCCAAGCTCTGCGGCAGGGAAGATGCCACGGTCCCGAGCATTCCCAGCACCCTGCTGTTCCTTAGCTGGGGCGCGGGCTGGCTCTGCTCAGTCCATTGTGGCCTGGGGATACCCAGCAGGGGATGGGGTCTGAGGCTGAGCACTGGTGGGCACCAGCCCCCCTCTCCTTTACGTAACTGCCAGCATTAATCCCGCACAGCTGGGGCTCGGTTCCCAGGAAGAGAATAATCCTGATGGAGATCCTTGGCCTCTGCTCGGATTAACGGGCTGTGGGCAGGCAGAGGCTCAGCTGCCAGCCCGCTTGCCATTGCAGCCGGGTTTGCTGACCCGTGGCACCTCTGGCCCCACATGAAGGGCCTTTTTGTCCACTCCACGGGCTGTACATGCGTGCACCAGCGGCAGCAGGGTGACTGAGTGTCCCAAGAGCTGGCTCAGCCATGCCCGGAGGGCAGTGAGGTTGACAATGGGTCTGGTTTTGCCCCTTGGCACAGGCAGAGCCATGGGCACATGTGACTGGTACCCCCCTGCCTGGGGTCTGCACCCTTGTTGGGTGCTGCAGGCAGGGAGGGTGCTGCTGCCTGCCCATGGCAGGAGACAAGACACAGTCCAGCCCGGTTGCCACCATGTGTGCCCCCACCCCGCAGCTGGTCCCATGTGTGCCCCCACCCCGCAGCTGGTCCCATGTGTGCCCCCACCCCGCAGCTGGTCCCATGTGTGCCCCCACCCCGCAGCTGGTCACCCCTCCACAAAACCATGGGAGCCACAGCTTTGCCCATGAGGGCTTTATTGTCTTGTACCGGGAAGTGGGAGGAGGGTGCGGGATCCCCAAGGGGAAGAGGAGGGCGCAGGGATGTGAGCAGAGGGTACGAGGGGGGATCTATGGCTTCTCTCCTTCAGTGCTACTGCCCCGCGGTGCTGCGGCGGGGCTGGGGGTGCCGGGCCTGGGACTCTCAGCTCTCCTCCTCGGGGACGGGGGCAGGCGCGGGGCCGCGGCTCCGCTCCTCGGTGTCGCCCGCGGGCAGGAGCAGCGCCGGGCTGGGGCTGGAGTGCCGCGGTTTGCGCATGAAGGGGAAGACCCTGCGGGCACAGCGGGGTCAGTGCCGGCAGCCACCACCCCAGCACCGCGCCGGGGCCGGCCCTGCCCTCACCGCTTCTTGGTCTCCGGGGGGATGACGGCCTCGGCCAGGAGGTTCCTGTAGAGCTCCGACTTGAGGAACCGCGGGTACGAGTCCTGGGCGGGCAGAGGTGTCAGGCTCCTGCCCTGCTCTGCCCTGCCCTGCCCGCCCTCACCCACCTTCTTCATGAGCATGTAGATGTGCATCTGCGCATCGTCCATCACGTAGCGGTGGGGCGTCTTGATGCCCTCCAGGGTCCGCTCCATGGTCTTGCTGTCGATGTTCACCCAGCGCGTGGCACCAGGAGCCAGGAACTGCCTGGGGAGTACCCGGCCCCTGCGCTGTGATGGCCTGATCCCCCCTCAAAACCTTGCTCCCCCAAACCTTGCCCCACTGGCACTCACTGGTAGATGGAGTCCACAATCTCAGGGATGCGGGACTGCTCCCCATAGCGCAGCTCCTCACATGCCTCCCAGAAGCTCAGGTTCTCGGCTGCGGAGGGGGACATGGTGTTGGTGATGGGGATGTGGTGCTGGGCACCCCTAAAGTCCATCGTGGCTGGGCACATGGCCCAGCAAGCACCCCTGGGATGGAGCCAGCTGGTGTGAAGTGGGACAGGTTAGCTAGGAGGTGCTGGGATGGAGAGGCCAAGACAGAGCAATGGGTTGGGTTGGTGTCAGGATGGGACAGTGGATTAGGTGGTACTGGGACACGGTGGTGGGTCTGGGGGTGCTGGGATGGGGAGGTCACGTGGGGGAGCCCAAGACAGAGCAATGGGTTGGTGTCAGGATGGGACAGTGGATTAGGTGGTACTGGGATACAGTGGTGGGTGTGGGGGTGCTGGGATGGGAGGTTTGGGGTGCAGGGCTGGGGCTGCTCACCACTGAACTCCTTCTTGAGGAAGTCGAGGAGCTGTGCCCGGCCCAGGGGGTCCATAAGGAGCTCGCTGAAGTTGAAGCCCCACCTCTCCACACGCAGCTTCGTGGGGGTCTGCACCCTGTGGGCAGCACCTCGTGGGGCTGGCAGGGGGCAGCCCGTGGCTCTGCATGGTGCAGCACCTCATCCTGCAGGGTGGGGTACTGAGGAGGTGGGGGCTGGCAGTCCCCATGTGAGCGCTTACGTGGGGGCGTTCATGGCCCAGTACGTGGTGTCGTCTGTGATCCAGGGGTTGCTGGGCAGGCAGCCGGACATGATGGGGTCGTGGGGCACGTACTGCTCATTGAACTTGAGGTACCTGCCAGGAGCAGCGGCTGGAGGTGGCTGGGGCCACCGCCGCTGCTGGCACCAGCCCCAGCCACCGTGGGGTAGTGGCAGGGACATGGTGGAGATGGGCTTTGTGATGACCACGGAGCCTCAGCTCCATTCCCTGCCGAGGGCGATGGCAGTGTGGGAGCTGTGGCTGCAGCGATGCAGGTGCTCCCATCACCCCAGCAAGGACCTGGCAGCCACCAGCCACTCACCCCTCGAGGCAGATGGAAGACTTCACCCTGGTCCTGGCCATGGCCTTCCTGCAGTACTCGATCTGGGGCCGGGCACAGGGGACACATCAGGGGTGCTGGGCAGCTCATGCTCCCTGGGAGCAGCCTTCATCCCTCGCCCCACTCACCTCCCGCTTGTAGTAATCCATGTTCTTGGTCTGCAAGAGATGTGCAGGGTCGGGTGAGGGCATAGTGGGGCTGGGACACTGTGCACTGCCCTTGCCACCCTGGGCAAGAACCCGAGCATCCAGCCCCCCTGCTCACCCCAGCACCCCACAGCCCATCCTTGTGGCCCCAGCCTCATCCCTGCACCCTGGCTTGGCCAGCACAGTCTGTGGTGTGAACCCCAGCATCCACCCCCCAGCATGACACCAGCCCTGGGTTAGTGACACTTACGTGGGCAGAGGACACGGCACACGGCGCAGAGAAGAGAAAGTGGGTGGTTAGTGAGGGTGAGCTGGGGGTGAGGGTGTCTGGGGCAGCGTTAGTGGGACCATGACACGGGGAAGGACCCAGGGATGGCTGCGGGCACCCAGGGTGCTGGGGCTCCTCATGCACAGCTACACTGCAGGGATCAGGGGTGCCAGCACAGAGGGGTGTCAGGTACACAGGCAAACACATGGATAACCCCCAGCTCGGCAGGGAGACAGGCTGGACACGTGGGTGTTAGCAGAGCTGGGGCTCACACCCCACATGGGGTGTGTTATGGGGTGGCAGCTCAGCACCCCAGCACCCAGGGTGGCTGTGCCCTGTGCCCCGCACTCACCAGCTGGACGCGGGTGGTGTGGCAGTTCCTGCGCTCGGGGCCCTGCTCCAGCACGTTGGGGGCACCTGGCTGCAACAAGAGCATTGTGCCGGGGGCTGGCAGCAGCCCCGTGCCCTCAGTGCTACCCCATCACGTACTCACCGGGGGCCGGTTGACAAGCCAGTACGCCTGCTCCTGACAGTCGATGACGATGCGGTCGCCCTTCCGCCGCTGCTTGGCCGCCCTGCCCATGCAAAGGCAGCAGGGAGGTGCTGGCACCCAAGGGCGCTCCATCCCTGGCAGCTCCCGGGGGTGCAGCAGTGCCGTGCCCGAACTCACCGGAGCTGCTCCCGCGCCTGCATCACCACAAAGTCCCACGTGTGGTTGATCCGCTTGTGCAGGAGGTTGTAGTTGTCCTGGGGAGCAGCAGTGATGGTGTCATCTGGGTAGGCACGGCACAGCACCCATCCCGTGCCTGGATCCGGGTTCCGTTGGCACTCCAGCACAGGGAGTCGGTGTGGCCCCACAGGTGAGCCCCTGCTTCTGGGTGAGTGAGACACCCTAGTTTGTTGCTAGGTAGGGAGGGCAGCACTCACCTTCTCGTGCTCGATCAGGTCTCCCTGCTTGCGGATGTTCTTCTTGGCCAGGTAAATGGCTGCAAAGAGGAGCAGCGGCACCTCAGGGAGGCCAAGAAGAGGCTCGTCCCACGCTGGTGCAGGTGATGTGGTGGTACCTACCATAGTCCAGCTCTGTGGCCGGCCACTTGGTGCTGGTCCAGAAATACGGGGTCTGCAAGGGGAGGAGGGAGGCTGAGGTTAGCGCCACGGGTAGGGGGAGCCCCAGGGCTGTGGCTGCAGCAGGACCCTACCTGGAAGCGGTAGGGCGACTCGTCTGCCCGCAGCACCAGGCTGCGGGGGTCCTTGAGCGGGTAGATGTAGCCGTGCTTCACAATGAGGTTGCCAAGGTGCAGCGATTCTGGGGGAGCAGCAATGGGGCTGCATGTCTGCTCGGCAGCCTTGGCAGCCCCTGCCGTGCCGGCTGCGTGTGCCGAGGCACTCACCCTCTTCAGAGATCCCATACTTCTGGATGAGCCACTCCACGATGTCATTCCCTGGGGACCGAGGCTGTGTTAGCAGGGTGCAATGGGGTCCCCCAGACTGAGCACAGGGAGGTTCCGGGGCTGGAGCACCACGGTATGGTGGGTGCCAAGGGAGTCACACAGGGTGACGGGGGCCCTGCCAAGGACATGCTGGGCCACCCACCCCGGCGAGCGCCCGCCCTGCTCAGCCGATGCATAATTGATGCCAGCTGCAGTGCTGAGCACCCGCGGGTGCAGGGGGGAGAGCGCTGTGGGGTGCTGCTGGGGTCCACCCAGGGAGCTGGGTGCTGAGCAGGATCTCTTCAGGGAGCACCCGATGGCTCTCCACCAGTGCACCTCTTGGGGCACCCCATTGAGGGTCCCACCTGTCATGGCGTGGGGGATGACGGTGATGAGCAAGCGCTGGTTCCTCATCTTGACGCCCATGTCGGGGTCCTGCATGCTGACGATCATCCGCTCCATCTGCCGGGCAAGCACCCGCCACGCTCAGCCCCTTGCCCAGGGCACTGGGCCTGGACACTGCCTGCACTCACCCACCCTGACACTGGCACCCTGTGCCTGGAGCAGGGACAGCCCTGCACCTCGCAGCCGGACCCGGGCACCCCGCAGCCGGGCGAGTGAGCAATGCCGGAGCTGCGGGGTCACCCCCGGGCCAGGGAGCCCCGGTTTCGGGGACCGAACTCTGCCGGGACCGTGGCAGCGCCCCGGGCCGGCGGGCAGGGGCTGAGCACGCATCTCCGGAGCGCTGCCGGCGGGTGTCCCCCCGCGGGGCGGTTCCCGGTGCCTGCGGAGCACTGGGTGGTGCTGGACCCCGGCCCCCGGAGATCCCGACGCCCGTGCCGCGGGGGTGCCCTGTCCCTGATGCCCGCATTTCCCAGTGCAGTGCCGGTGCCCGGGTCCCCTCGGTGCCAGGTCCCCACGGTCCCAGCACCCGGTCCCTTCGGTACCCGGTGCCCCATAGTGCCTGTGCCCGGTACCCACCATCCCAGCAGCCGTTTCTCCCGACAAGCGGTCCCCAGTGTCCCAGCGCCCGGACCCCTTAGTACCCAGTCCCCACGGTACCCGGTCCTCAAGGTGCTTGTGCCCAGTCCCCGTTATCCCAGCGCCCTGACCCCGCGGTACCCGGTCCCCCCTATCCCAGTACCGGGTCCCCTCGGTGCCCGCTGCCCGGGGCCGGTGCCGCTCACCTTCCGCAGGCACGGCATCGCGAGGCGGGGGTGCCGCCCGCGGGGGCCGCCGATGGTCATCGCGGGTGCGCGCCCCGCTCCGCGCTGCTCGTCCCGGCCCCGCCCCGGCCCCTCCCGGCCCCGCCCCGCGCTCCCCCCCCCGCGGATGCCGCCGTCTTTGCTGGGCCCCGACGGGACCCCGGTCCGCGGCACCCCCGAGCCCCATCCCCGGTACCGGCCGCTGCCCTGCCCACGGGACCCCACGGCCCGGCCCGGTGGGGACCGCCCTGAGCCCCTCCGCGCCGCCCGGGCCCGCAGCTCTGCCGGCTGGGTCAGGGGAGCGCAGGGCTCGTCCTGCTCCTCGGGGGTTTGTGCTACTGGGTGCAGGCAGAGGGGGACCACTGTGGCCGTTGAGATGGGTGTGCGGGCAGGAAGCAGTACAGGCAGGGCATGAGCAGGAGCACGGTGCGGGCAGTGCACTGAGGGTGCAGGCAGGAAGCTTGCGGAGTGCGGGCAGGGTGAACAAGGCCTTGGCAGGGTGTGGAGGTTGTGGGCAAGGGGTGGGCTGGGTGCAGGCAGGTAGGACTGGGCATGGCCAGGTGTGGGCAGGGCGGGCAGTGGGACAAGGTGTGGGCACTGGGGCTGGGTGCGGGCAGGGTTTATACGGGGCACCGGTGGGGCAGGGTGTGGACAGTGGGCCAGGATGCGGTCAGAATGTGAGCAGTGGGTCTGGGCATGGGCTGTGGGTCTGAGTGTGGCAGTGGGGCTGGGTATGATCAGTGGGGCTGGGTGTGGACAGGGTGCGGGCAGTGAGCCTGGGTTTGTGCACGGTTTGTGCAGGGCAGGCAGTGGGGCTGGTTGCAGGCAGTGGGGCAAGGTGTGGACAGGATGCGGGCAGTGGGGCTGGGTGCGGGCCGTGGGGCTGGGTGCAGTCAGTGGGCCTGGGTGCGGGCAGGGTTTGTGCAGGGCGGCAGTGGGCCCGGGTACAGGCAGCGGGGCAGGGTGCGGGCAGCGGGCAGGGTCTGTGCGGGTTTGCGCGGCGCTGCGCACGGCGGATGAGCTCACTGCAGTCTCGCCGCCCATGAGCGGCGGGGCTGGAGCCGCCCGGCGCCGAGGGGCGGGGGCGGGCGGGGGCGGGCAGCGGAGCCGCCGCGTCTGCGGGAGCCGCCGCCGCCGCCCCGCCGGGCCGCGCCGGGCAGCGCAGCGGGAGCGCAGCGGGAGCGCAGCGGGAGAGGCCGGAACGCGGCGGCGGCAGCGGCAGCGGACCCCGGCGGAGCCGCCGACACCGGCAGAGCCGCGCCCCGGGCCCCGGCAGCGGCCGCCCCGCCCGGCCCCGGGGGCGCAGGGCCCGGCCCGGCCATGCTCGGGCTGGATGTGTGCGAGGCCGGCGGGCAGCTGCTGGAGCTGCTCTGGCTGGCGCTATGCTACCGAGGTGAGCGGCAGCGGGCCTGGTGGCGCGGCCCCGCAGCGGGAGGGCATCGCCCGGGTGCCCCGGGGGCGGCGGCGGCGGGGGGGAGCATGGCCCCGGGTCCGCAGCGGGTGAGCATCGCCCCGGCACCCGCTGTGTTCAGGAGGGCATCACCCCAGGCCCGGGGGGACCAGAGCACCACGTACGGGCGGGGGGGCTCCCCCGCATCCCGGCCTTTGGCACCCAGCGCCCACCGCACGGCTCGGCCACCCCTGCGGGGTTGAGCGAGCCACGGGGAGGGGGCATCCCCGGGTGGGAGACAGCGCGGCCGGTGCCTCAGGCTGCAGTGACAGCCGAGGTGCAAGGGTCCCCCAGAGGCGCAGCGGGGCCATCGCTCTGTGCCCCGCTCACTGCCGCTGCCTCGGGGACACGCACAGCTGGACCGGGGCCCGGCGCCTGAGAGCAGTGTCCCCTGCCCCAGGCTGTGTCCCCAGGGATGGGGTTTCCAGGGGTTCTGCGGGGCTCAGTGCTTGTAGTCACAGGGTGTGGGGGGCAATGCAGCAGGCAGGGAAACGTCGGGCTGGGGGGCATCCCCCACCCTTGTGCCCCCCAGCAGCCTGGCACCACTGCAGGCGCTGTTACCCTCAGAGCTGGCTTTATTCCCTGCAGCCGCCGGTGGTTTGGGTTTGGGGTGGGAGATGGGGCTGGTGCCTGCCTAGCAGGGTTGCAGGAGGTGACAAGGATCTCTCTGATTGATGAGGCACGAAGGGCACCCGCGGGCCGCGGTCGTCTGCAGGCACCCCCAGCACTGTGCGCACCACGTAGGCACCAGCGCGTCCCGCTCCATGACCATGCGGAAATGCAGCCTGCGGCAACACCTCTGGTCTCAGCTGTGCCACCAGGCCCTGGGGACACGGAGCCTGGCAGCATCCCCATGGCCCTGAGCAGGGGGACAATGAGGCTGCCCCGCAGGGGTTGCCTGCATCCATCTGCAGTGTACCCCAGCTCAGCTGCCCCCTGCCCACCAGTGCCTGTTTATCAGGGAGTGGGGGTGTCCCCAGGGTGTCCCCGGGGTGTCCCCGGGGCGGTGGGACTGCCACTGCCTGTCCCCCGCAGACATCATGGCTGACAAGGAGGGGGTGACGCTATCGCTGGAGGAGGAGGAGGATGCCGACGTGGCCCTGGCGTACAAGACGCCGGAGAAGAAGAGCCTGCGGGAGATCCAGGAGCTGGACCCGGGGGACGAGAGCCTGCGGAAGTACAAGCAGGCGCTGCTGGGTACCATCCCTGTGGCCGTGGGTAAGGTTGGGGGCTGTCCCCCCAGGGCTGGGCACCCCAGCACCCTGGCACCCCACTGGGTAATGCAGCCTCAGCGCATGCAGGTTGCTCAGGCATCCCCAGTGCCCACGGGGCGTCCCCAGCAGGGAGGGTTGGCAACACCCATGGGGGCTGCCTGTGCCCCCCACCTGCACAGAGACCCCGGCATCCCCCTGCAGACAGGGTAATGATGCCCGGGGACCCCGGTTGCCTTGGTTACGGGATCACAGCCGTAGTTTCCATAGGAACGGCTACAAGGGACCAGGAAATTCATTGGGATGACGGAGATGGAGCAAGCAGCCGCAGGAGGCTGGGATGGCACGGCTGTCAGTACCCACATGGTGCTCCTTACTCCCAGTGGCACCCATAGCAGCCACCCCAGCCTGGTGCTGCCCTCAGTGTCTGTGGGTGCTCCCCCCAGGTGTCTGTGGGATCCGTGGGCTCAGCACTCTGCTGTGCTGCCTGATGGGTGCATGAGAGCTGGGGGGATGGTGTGTGCAAACCGGTGGGGTGCATGAGGTGTGCACAATGGTGTGTGTGCAAAGTTGGGGGGATGGGGGTGCAGGCTGGGGGGTGCAGGAAAGGTGAATTAGACCAGTGCCTGTGCTGAGGGATGCCTCTATCTGTACATCCTGCCTCTTCCTTCCCATTGGTCTGGCCTGCTCCTGAGCCAAGGAGCACCGTACCCCAGGAGATACCTGCGTCTGGGCCCTTGAAATGTGCTCTTACACCAAAGGTGCTGGTGCCACTGTTGGGGCTGGGCTGAGATGCTCCCAGCCTCCTGCACCCTGCCTGGGCTGGCTCCTAACACTCCACCATGGACACTGTGGCCCTTCATGCTGTTATGGGGGGGCATGGGCAGCCCCCTGGCTGTGTGGGAGCAGAGGTGCTGATGGCAGTGGGCTGGGCACAGGTGGGTAAGGGCTGCACCCTGCTGCTTATCCCTAGATGCCAGCGTGCCCAACGTGCAGGTGACGAAGCTCACCCTGATGTGCGAGCAGGCGCCGGGGCCCATCACCATGGACCTGACAGGTGAGCAATGGGCACCCATGGGGGGAGGAGGAGGAGAAAGAGGAGGAGGAAGGGGGGCAAGGCTGAACGGGCCATTTCTCTGCACAGGAGACTTGGAGGTTCTGCGGGGCCGAGCCTTCGTGCTGAAGGAAGGGGTAGACTACAGGGTGAAGGTGTCCTTCAAGGTGAGGTGGGCTCACAGTGCCCTGCTGCTCTCACACACTGGGGTCCCTCTACAATGGGATCCCTGCTCCCCATGGCTCCTTTTCCCACATGTCTCTGCTGCACATGGTCCCTTCTGCATTTCTGCACCCATGGGTCCCAGCTGCCCTGGCACCCCTGACACCCAGGCTCTCTGTGCCCTTGGGGTGTCTGGCTCCTGCCCCTCACCCTGAAAGTCCGTGCCCCTCTGGGGGTCCCTGACCCCCTGCTGTCCCCATCACTGACACCCCAGTGTGCCTGCTTCCCTCAGAGGTTCTATCCGTGTGGGGTCTCTGCCTTTCCCAGTGGTCCCTGGAGGTCTCATTGGGAGGGGTGTCCCTCCCATCTCAGGGTCCCTGCCCCACTCGGGGGTCCCTGCCATGCTGGGGTCCCTGCCACCCTTGATATGCTGCCCAATGCCCAATACTGACCGAGAGGCTGGATCCTGGGGTAGGGGGGATTGGGATGGGGGTGCACCCCACCCAGGCCAGGCTTCCCAGGGCAGCAGTGGGTGCGCTGTGGAGCAACACCCATGGCACCCCTGCCTTGTGCCCGCAGGTCAACAGGGAGATCGTCTGCGGGCTGCGGTGCCTGCACCTCACCTACCGCCGGGGCCGGCCCGGTGAGTGGGGTTGGGGGGCTGGAGGGCGGCTCATGCCACTCTGGCCCCGCTCATTCCTCCCTCCTGTCCCCTCCTGCCCAGTGGACCGCGATGTCTTCATGGTGGGCAGCTACGCGCCGCGGGCCGAGGAGTACGAGGTGGTGACGCCGGCGGAGGAGGCGCCGCGGGGGTGGCTGGCGCGGGGCTCCTACCGGGTCCGCTCCCTCGTCACCGACGACGACAAGATGGAGCATCTCTCCTGGGAGTGGGGGCTCTGCATAAGGAAGGCCTGGGAGGACTGAACCCCCCCGTCCGCACCCCGGTTCTCCCCCCGCCAGCTCGGGGGCGCGGTGCCTGCCAGCCCGGGGGACCCCTCTCCGGCACCGCCGCTCTGTGGGGTCGGGGGGGGCCCATGGGCAGCGGGCGCTCGCGGTCGCGGTCTTCGCAACCAAAGTTATTTTTAATTGCTCTTTTTATTTAACCCCCGGCGCCCGCCCGGTCCCCACCGCCGGGGCTGGGCCGCGACCCTGCCGCGGCAGCGCCTGGCCGGAGGCTGTGCTCTTCCATCGCCATTAAACCCCACAGACTGGTCTTTACTGGTGTGTCTGCG